CCAGCAACTGCTCGGTCGGACTGATTGTCCTCCTCATCATTCTTCTTCTTTCTGGCTTCGCCATCTTTTTCGGCTTTGGCCACTTTGACTTCTCCTTGGCCCTCACTCACTGGACATTTGTTGGAGAAGTGCTTTGTGGACCCGCAATTCCAGCAGCGACGCTGGTCATCCTTCTGGTTGTGATCCCATCTGCAAGCTTTTCCTCGACGGCATCCATTCTCCGTCAGGAAGTACTTACACTTTGGCATCTCCTTCTTACCCTCATCGCCCTTCTTGGCTTGAGGCACTTCGCTTCTTTTTCCTGCCTCCTCCATCTTCCGAGCTTTAGGAACTCCTGCGATGGCTGCCTTTTCCTTCTTTTTGGCATAGGAGACCTGGTCCATCTCAGCCAGTAAGCATTCGGCCAACTGGTCAATGGAAGACATAGTGGGCACAGAATCCACCATCAGTGTTGTCCTCGTCAGGTTAATGCGAAACTGCAAGGTTGGATTGCCAGCCAAAATCTTGGAGACCAGCCGGTCCAGGCCCCTCAAAAGGACCGATGGATCGGGCAACTGAAGGCCCATGTCTTCTGCCCTTTTCTTCCATCTCAACCAACGACGTAGTCCCAGGATGCCCTCGCCGATCCCCACCGCTTCTGCCGGCAGCTCCAAAGCGGCCAGCACTGCTGCTTTTTCATGGGAACCACCAGGCTGGTAGTTGTTGAGGAGTTTTGCCAAAATCGCCAACACTGAAAGGTCTTTCCCTGCCACAATGTCATCACGCTGACTACTGGGCAAGGCCTGAAGAAGCAAACTGCTTCCTCTCTTCTCCAACCTTCTCCATTTCTTCTGCTGTAGTTGCGGTGGTGCCCTGACTTCATGCTTCAGCTTGTCGATGGGCTTCATAGCTTGGTGTTTGTGGTACCAGTCCTTCGCAGTCTCAACCACTAGATCCCACCATTCTGAACTGCTGGTAGTGAGATCCGACATCTGTGCATGGATGAGAAGCAACCAGTCCTGTAAGTCCACCGGAGCATTCTCAGCTGTCCACTCCGGCAGTTTGTGCAGCTCTACACTGCTCCTCACATGCTCCTCTTCATCGTCCTCTGTTAGCCGTCGGCCCCTGATCGTCTCTCGATCCAAGAGCTGTTGTTGCAGCGATTGCATCCCTTGCATCAACTTGAGCATCACGTCCACTGTGGTGTCCTCCTTTTTTGATCTTCCTTTGTGATCTTTCACATTCACTGAATCTTCCGACTCCTCTTCTTGAATCGATTGACTCTCCTCACTGGACTCTTGCTGTCCAGCTGGACCATCCTCCTTAGAAACTTCTTCAAGCTTCTTTCCAATCACTTCCTCCTCTGCTTTGGGGGTCTCAGCCTCCTGTTCTCCTCGACTTGCATCCTCCTTTGGCTTCGAAGCTTCAAAGTCTTCCTGCTTGGCTTCTACACCTTTGGACTTGGGCTTCTTTCCTGAAACCTTCTGACGGCGGGCGCTGTCACGGAGACCTTCAGCAGGAGTGACATCGGGAGGTGTTGTGTATCTAGTCTCTCGTTCTTCCATAAGCTGAATCCTCAACCTCAAATTTTCTTCTTGAAGCTGGGTGAGAGACTTTGACATTTGTCCCATTTCTTGTCGAAACTGCCACATCATCTCATCAAACATTCCTTGTTGTGTGTGGTGTGGCACGTATCCATAACCTAGGTACTCCTTAGGGTATGTGGGGGGGGACCTTTCCATTTTCCTTTTTAAGGTGGGGTTGCCTACTCCTGTCCAATCCTGATCCTGGCTTTGGAGACCAAGAATGCCTAAACAAGCCTAAACAGTGCATCGCGCCATTTTATAGGGTGCACAGCCGCATGGTCAGGGCAGGGTTTTACCTGGGACGGCCGGAGGTATATTAAAAACATAAAAGCTGGTTCACATTTTAGGTTTTGCCACCTTGATCCATCGCAATCTGATCCCGTTGTAGCGGATAGGTGCAAAGCTTATTCAATTAGCTTCAAAATGGTCGATTTAAGCTTCCAAATCGTCGATTTTAGCTTCAAAATCGTCGATTCTAGCTTCAAAAACGTCGAATTTCGGTTCAGAACGGTCGATTTTAATTACGCAAGAATCGCTTCCACGACTGCCTCCCTCCCCCCTCCTAAATCCTATACCTTGTAGCCAGGTTGTAGCGGATAGGTGCAAAGCTATTTAATGAAAGCGGTGGGGTGGGTGGAAATACACGGTGCTAGGGCGACGTTAGGGCGACATTAGGGCGTCTGTAGGGCCTTTCCTGCAGCTAAATGCCGCATCACATGAAGTGGCAATCCTCCAGGGGCCAACAACAGGGCACAACCGACCAGATTGTTTTTTCTTGTGCCCAGCTTGTACTTTATTCTTTCCAGAGGCTATTCCTTTTCATTCCTGTTCATTTTTCTTTTTTGCTTTGGGACTTACAAACCTTAAACACAATGAAATGCATAGAAGATTTCTTTCGCATTCCTATGCGTTTCATTGCTTTTAAGGTCTGTGAGTCCCAAGACATGATGGAAAAATGAAAAGGAATAGCTCTGGAAAGAAAAAGGTCCGGAAACCTGTAGAAATGCTCCACGGACGGTCCCCGATGGAGAGGCCCCCAGAGCGAGAAACAAGCATGTCTCTTGCTCTGGGAAGCGTCCCATTGCTTAGGGCCTCCGGCCCTAAGCGATGGGGATGCTTCCGCCCAAAAACCCATCCAATCGGTTGTGCAATGTTGTTATACCCCTTGAAGGATTGCCACATTATGCGATGCGGCATTTAGCTGCAGGACCCTTCAGTAAATAAGCTTTTTATTGGTTGATGGATAAGTCTATATATATATATATCAAAATATCTACCGCCAAACTAACGCAAAACTAGCGCTTAGGTGCAGAGATGGATTTTCAATGCGTATACGCGTGACTCCGCCTTTTAACGAAATTGTAAATTCGTCATGCAAATTTATTTATGTCCACCTATGATTAGATTTCCTGATTAGCATTTTAGAAAAGTTTCCATATGTGTATCATACAGGGATTAGACAAAATCACCCCTAAGTCATACCTAAAGCCAGCCTAAAGCCTCCCTAAAGCGCTTGCGCGCATGGCAACGCCATTTCAATAAGTCATACCTTAGTTGTCCCTTTGAGGCATTTCACCATGTAAACGCTGCATCAGCTTTAGACCTTCAAACTTGCAGATCGCTCAAATTCAACTCTTTCTTGCCCTGCTGCCTATGCGTTTCACGAGTTTCCTTGGCAGTGGAACAAATCGTTTCCAACGATTTGCTTTGCCCTTCCCTTCCCTTTCTTTCTTCCCTTCTTTTCCATTTCCTTCCATTCCCTTTTCTTTTCTTCCCATCCTTCCCTGAAGCAAACCAGGGAAAAAACGAGATCAAAATGAGATCAGAAGGCTGGGTCAGCCCTTACCTTTTGGGCCCTGACCTTGCCCGGAACCTGGTGTTAAAACTGCAACGGATAGCACCGCCGGATGGGAAACCCTTGAAAAAAAAGATTTTCCAAAAAATGAACCCCACAGGCGTTTTCTTTTACTAAGTGGGTACCTAGTCCATAACCATGTTGAGGTGCTAAGGGATATCCCATTGGTGACATCATCAAGACTTCCGGACCCTTCCTTGATGGTCCCTCTGACATGTCAGCTTCCTTCCCCATTCCCACCTTCCCTGCCGCCAAACCCCCATCCCATCCGCCGGTGGACTGGCTTACTGCGGTGGGGCTTGGGCCCTGCAAAAGTGGTGCACTCAACCTGAGCTCCTCAGCCTTCTTTAGCTGAGCTTCATTGAACAGTGGCTGGAGGTTCCTAGGTCCTAGGGCCTTAGGGGATCCTACAGGTTCTGCTGGAAAGTCTTCTATTGGCAAGGGGGTTTTCATATCTTCCCCAACAGGACCATTTGGTGAAGGCTTTCCAACCCTTTCCCTATCCACTGCCACTAGAGCCATCTCTGCCCCTTGGTTTCTCGCGCTTGCCCGGGTGCTTGACGCTGTTTGGTCTTTCTTTGACTCTTCATCATCAGGCTCAGACCTTCTTCTTCTGAGCATCATTTCAGCAGAGTCCCCATGCGTTGGGCTCATAACCTGTTCGCGACAGGTTCACCCGGGTAATATTATCGGGGGTACTAGCACTGACAGTCCTGACACGTCTGCGGCCAGAAAAGCCAGGTACTAGTCCACACCTCAAACTCCTTGCGTTAGACACACAAAGTCCTCCACGGTCAGACAAGTGGTCCTGCGCTTTTAACTCTCTTTCCAAAGTCCTTCACGTTGGACTCACCGGTCTTCCGACCGATCTTTGAGCTTGGAAAAAGGGCTATGGTGAAATGCCCATTGATTGAAATGACAATTGCCAAGTCATGACATGGATGCTAAATAGGGAATATGCAATTCGCAGTTTCAACCCCCCTGAAAAATATTAGTCAGTTGGGATGATTATTCCCAATAGATGGAAAAATACAAAATGTTCCAAACCACCAATATATAGTTTATGTGTTCTATAGCCGATGTTTTACAGATTACTTCATAATGTGCACCATGATGTTCCGGGATGTCACCATTTAGATGAGTGAAATACTCCATTTTCCTATGCTTCATAAGAGAAGAAGAAGAAAAAGAAACTTAGGTTAAATATGGTTATATAAATCTCATATGATCAGTTGGTGAAACCATTATTTGTGATCTCAGAACCACAAAGAAGAACAATAAATCCCAAAGTGATATGAGCTATTGATTGTTACTGAATATCATTGCTTAATGTCATTACTGAATAAAGGCCTTTGCCTCGTTTACTTCATAACTAACAATAATGTGCTTAATAATTTTTAAATCTCAACTTCAACAACTACTGTAACAATCATTTAGATTTGAAGAAAAAAACACACTGAAAAATCTCAGCACTAGTTATTATCTCAACAACTCAACCATACTTCCAATTGCCACCAGTGATTTTTTCCATAAATCAACACTAGCTGCGCACACCGCAGGGGCACCGCAGGGCCCGAGGCCTCGGTCTGGACGTCGTCATCAAAGACACCACCGGGCAGGCACTCGCCAACAGAACTGGCCTCCTGGATCCATGGCGTTTGTTCAGCGGGGATAAGCTGGTGGATGGATGAGCAAACATAGAAGGCCATGATCATGGATATACCTATATAAACGGTGATAATATATATACTATGGATTATATATATACTATTATGTTATAAGTTATACCTATATATATATTATGGATGTAGAACATGAAACGTGATGGTGTACCTCTACGAAAACTTTTTGCTTCGAGTACAGTAAGTATGACTATATCAAAACTTCAAAAACTCTGACGTAACTTTCAAGCATCAAGAATTGGGACAAAATAGACATGTCTCCAACGACCAAATGGGGAGCTCACAGCAAAAATGGCAATTCAACCACATTCAACCATCAAAAGTCTACAGTAGATATTGGGGATGGGTCATGCCCATCTATGACGCCAGCTAGTTTGAAGACATGGTGCTATAACCCATGGGAAGTTAAGGTTCTCTGCCATGGGAGGTTTTCACAAAAAACGCATCCATCTTTGTGAAAAGAGATGAATTGAACATCAACCGGTGATTTTCATACAAGAACACGCAAACATACAGTAGAAGAAATTGGATGTGATGGTTTTGTGTCCTGTGGAGCAACTCATTTTGCCCATACTTTCAGCCTTAATTGACCAACAAGGTGTTTTTTTTCACCCGACTGTCCATATATCCACCATAGTTCCAGTCGCTGTTGTACTTATGAACCAATTTCACCTTACATCAACTGTAGATAAGAATGGTCCCAGGTTTGGGTGGTTTCATCCCCACTCTATTGCTCCAAATCAACTAGATCGATAATTTTTCGTATAGCGAACTGGAAAATCACCCTGGTTTCATAGGTAAATCGGTAAATCCATCATTTTGATATATGTTCATCATGTATTTCTATGGGCCATGGCTATACCACTAGCATGGCATCGCCGTGCCTGCACCTTCCGCGGGGTGAAGGAGGCATTCACACCTCAGGTAAAGGCCCAGGGCATCCTTTTCCCGGTGAAAATATAAAGACATATAGAACTTCTCTGCGACAGAAATGGTGCTTTCATGGGGAAATTCATGGGATGTAGTGACGTTTAAGTGAGTTAATGGTGATTATATTGGATTTTAATGGATTTATTCCGAAATCATGGGAGTTTAATGGATTTTATAATATTCATAGGGATTTAACCAACAAACAATGGGGATCTTAACGGTGATTTACCCTCCGGTTTTTTATCAAACAGTGCTGCATAATGTTGATCTTCCCAGCGAAGCAAACCTCCATTTATGGTGGATTTCCATGCCAGCTTACCCTCTGGTTATGACTAACAGTTCGCCATGGGATTAAGCCATGGCCCATAGAAATAGATGGTTGACCTATTAATTGCATGGTGGATCTTTCCATGGCGAAATGTTAAATAACCAGATTGTAACTCCAAAATACTCAATGGCTTAGTGGAGTTGTGGACTCCGTAAGAGAACCCTGCTCGAAAAAACCCAACCAGTAGGAAGGGCGAACGTCCGGGTTGGAGACGATTCGCAAATCTGCTCGCATGTCAATGAGCGACATGCGCTGAGTTAATAGTTGTAAATGGCTCAAAACGGAGTTGTCATTCTATAAATTGGGCTATAACTGACTTATAACATGCTATATAACTGGTATTCAGCGCCATAACTGTTGGGTTCTTCAAAGGGAGCTGTGTTGACTCTGGGGCTCAGTTGCCATCGAATTATGCCATGGGGATGGCCTTCTTTTCCCAGGTCGCCATATCACCAGGATCGGATCATGGTAACCTCGGCACCTCCATTTGACAAAAAAAAATTGCCGATTCCGCCATGAAAACATGGCAAAATATGTGACTGTAGCTGTTGTGACATCAGACATCCAAGTTCACCAAAAAAAATGGGATGCGCCACAAAAGTGTCAAAATCCGTCAAAATCCAGTGGCGGAAAGACTGCTAGCCCCCGCTTCAAACGGGTGGATTTTTGGTCTCCGAATCCCCGAACTCGGCTCCAAGGGACCCATGATGGACTCGTGGGCTCTGAAGATCTCCTGTGGAAAAGACGGACCTGTTTTAAGGGACTTTTTTTGGGATCATTTATGTTATCATAGTTGATGATCATAGTTTTATCAATGATCTATAATTAAAATGATGATCAACTATAATATATTGATTTTCATTGATCTATAATCAATAGTTAGATCCTTTTTGAAATTGTGATCATAGTTTTATCAATGATCTATTTTTTGTTGATCTAAGCAGTTTTATCAATGATCTAACCAGCCAACTATGTCGTTGTAAGCCAGAAATCATAGGTTCTAGTTGATGATGTTGGTTCGTCAGTTTGTTTATAGTTAGTTTATAAACACAGAATTGACCATGGTCATAGATGATCTTTAAAGAACTAGAGTAACCCCCAAAAAAAGATGGAGAAGTGTAATGAAATTCACCGTTGACATGCTGGATTTTACCAAAGCTGTTGATTTGCTATGCGATCTTTTTGGGGGATCGCTACTCAGCTGCACCCTGAAGCGAGCCGAACATGGACAACAAGGAGGTGAAACATCCCAAAAAAAAAAACGGGTATTTCCGGAGCCCTATGCCACAGTTCCCAGACATCTATAATCATCTATATAGAAATATAATGAAATATATATTATTATATGAATATATATATATATATATGCATTTTTTTTTCCATTCCACCGCCGTGAGTTCACCTCGCGCGGGCATGCCTGGTTCAGCAAATTCAATGCCTCAAGCCCCTTGGTAGTCAGGCAGATAGCTACTTTGAGCGAGGACTTGTGATTGTTGGCACATATGGGTCACCCAAGACTGATCGTGTGCAGTCAACTGTGCTGGCTCACCAGTGCCAAAAGTGCGGATCCTGTAATTAAGACCGCGCAAAACTGAGACAATAAGACTACGGCAAAGAGCTGAAGGATACTCCTTAGCCTTTGCCGTGCGGAACTTTCCATCAGCTCCGCGTCCACGAAGGCCTTGAGTAGGTCGCGATCGCCACAGCTCTGCGCCCTCCTGCAAGGAGCACTCAACGATGGAGGGCGGTCCGAGGTGCAGGGCACGGATGCAGGTAGGCTTAACGCCAGTCGATCCGTAGAGCCATTGTTCGATGCGATGTCGATGCGCATGGGGAAGTCGCATCACCCACTCCTCATGGCATCGCAAGCGCCATACAGAGACCTTCTCTTCCTCTTGTGCCTCCCAAGGGTGTTCCATGAGGGCGCCACCACCAGAACTGACCACGCTCACCTCGATCTGCATAGAGTTGAAAAGGAGTTCAGAACCAGTGTCGCATTGGCGCAACTCACGCGGAGTGCGCTGCGGTAGGCACCAGGGGGCGCTAGCTGTTCTCAATGGCCTGGGTCCATCTTGTTGATCCAGCGCAATGTTACGGGCTGCCGAGAATGTCTCGCAAGGAGGGCCCGTAAGCACCGCTGCAAAAACTCCACGTCTCGCCATGTTGAGGATCAGTCGCAAAGTGGGGCCAGTGGATAGGTCACCAAAGCGCTTGTCAATGGCTGTGTCGACCGACAACAAGCAAATGCGAAAGCCCGGCCGCACAAAGCGGCCAATATGCTCCAACCACCAATGACAATCTCCAACCCTTCGACGCCCACTAAATAAGTGGAGAAGCCAAATGACTGGTTGACCATCTTCCAAACAAATCGGAACCCTGGGTTTAGCAAAAGATCCCAATGAGCCAGCAAACAGGGGGTCTAACAGTCGATTTTGGCTAAGACATGGATCAACCATGACTTCAAGGCAGTTTGGTCGTGCACCTGGATCTGTAACATCACCATCTGCGCTAAGAGGCTGATATGCTTCATCCATGCGCAACTTCCAACTGAGCAAGCGTCCAATATCAGACTCTCGCACTAAGTCATGTAGAGCTCGATCGAGTCGCACAAAGACTGGTGTCTCAATATGCCGAAAACGAGAGCAAAACAAGCGTTGAAGCACCCATAGACAAAATGCAGCCTCTCGTTGAGGAGCCAATCCATCGAAGTCCGAACCAACAGCCGCGGTGAGGGAAAAGAGAATATCATCAACCTCACCTGACTTTGGCGGTGTCCAAGCCCATAAGAGCGCATCCATCTTCTGCATCACATCCTGCTGCAGGGCGAGGTCGCATTGTGCAGGAAGGCCTTCAGCTTGCCAGTGTTTCTGCCATACACGGTCAGCTTCGGCACGTGATGTGATAGTCTCCTCAAACGCTGTTGGTGCAACCGCAGCCACAATCGCTGGGTGTCGATGAAAGAGGACGCCAGGTGGCATCTTGTCAATTTCTGGAGCCGTGACATGAGGTTGCTGTCGCCAAGTGAGGCGTTCATAGCAGCCACCAGGATGTCGCCGACTATAGCGCAAATGCTGCTGAAGCCGTTGTGCAGTCCACAGGCAAAGGTGACAAGCCTCACACGTAGTAGAACTCATCATCGCACGCTCAGGTGAAATGATTTCATGAGCTGTCCAAAGATGTGTCTGCATCTGAGTAAGCGTAGCAAAGCGATGCGCACAAAGCCGACATTCAAAGGGTTCGTCAAGAGAAGCCACTGAAGGAGCAACTGCCGAAGAGGAAGCCTCGTCACGTCAGTTCGAAAACAAGCCGCCAATGCCATGTGAGCAGACAAGGCTCGTCCCACCAGGTATCCTTGGTCAAGAGCAACACGAAATAGACGCCGAACCAGACGAGGTCCTTCATGCAAATGATCGCGAAACCAATCAAGCAACTGGCCAATTGACGCATGGGCCGGCTCAATATGGAACAAAGAGGCATCCATCCGATGAAGCCACATGAGTGCTTGCCGAACAGCACGAAACCATGAATGCTTGTGATCATGCTGCAGGGAAATCATCTCAATGATGGTGGCCGGACAGTCCTTGACCAAATGAAATGCATACAAAAGCCTCAATTTGGCCAAACGAAGCGAAACAGAGGGAAGCCGCCGAACCATAAGGAGATGCGTGTCTGTCTGCATCGCAGGCGCCCAGAATCCGTTCTGCACAATACCACGCACCCATTTGAGATATGTACTCTGTAGCCGTTGAAGCTGCCTGGAATTCAGAAGCGACCATGCGCCAGCTCCGTGAAATAGGACAGGAACAACAAGACCTTCAAGAAGCCGCAAACGCGTGGACACTGCTAAATGCCGGTTACGTAAGATGGACTTGCAAACCTCATGATGTGCATGTTGAGCCCGCGCAACACGATGAGCAACTTCAGCAGCACCTGTACCATCAGCAGTGTAAATGGTGCCAAGATGTTCATAACTGGGCACGCATCGGAAAACTTGTCCAGATCCAAAATCATGAATGAGTCCTTGACGATCATGGAAAAGCTCACTGCGACACTCGCAAGCATTGGGCCCTCGAAACGCAATAACTGCCTCTGTTTTGGTGGGTTTCAGATTGATCTTCAGCCCAAAGGAGTAGCAAATCTCTTGGACCTTCGTCAGGATCCAAGTGCAGGATGTGGGGAGCTCCTGAGGTGAAGTCGCCACAATCGGTACGGCTACATCGTCGATCCATGTCACTGGGGGCGCCACCATACCCAGTTGCACAAAAGCCATCTGGAGGGGCACATAGGAGCTCATTGCCTGCTGGATTTCGACCAGAACACGAGTCATCAATAAGTTGAAAGCCGCGTCCGCCAAAGGACTGCCAGGTCGACTTCCACGATGCGTTTGTTGCGGTTCATCAGACGCCGCAACCGTGAACCATGTATGTTCATGAGCATCAGCCAACATCCGCTGAAGTGGCACAGGAAATGAGGCTAGTCGATTGGGAGAATCACATCTCTGCTGTGGTTGGTCCGGGGAAATACCAGCTTCTTGCAAGACCTCAACAAGCTTTGCAGGCAGCTCCTGCGGCATATCGAACACGATCTCGCGGATCAGAGAATGAAAAGCCGACTTGATATCAAGAAATAAGACCCCAGAAGACAAATCATGGGCTGCCGCTGCCTGTGTAAACGCTCGCAAGTAGTGCGTGGCGAATAAGGTTGATTGGTGAGGGAAGCCTCCCAATTGCAGCGGAGCCCTTAGGGCATGGAGCGTTGGGAGCATCTGAGTGCGCAAAAGACCATGCGCGAGCTTTCCAAGCCCATCCAAAAGAGCGATCCCACGCATGTCTTGGATTCGCACACTCTTGTGCTTTTTACTAATGCTGTGGATCAAGCCGCCCTTAAATTGCAAAGGCTCCGCGCCAGTGGCCCACATCTTGAAGAAGAGCTTGGCAATCTCATCAGAGCATAGCAAACCGCACTTCTTTAGCGTATGGGGTGCGATCAAGTCAACACCTGGCGCTCGATTGGACTTCACTTTGGCAAGATTAGTTTCAAGCTGACATCGGGTGGGCAAATCAGCCAGCGAGACAGCCAGAGGAGCCTCATTCATGCGAGCTTGTTGGGCAAGGGAACACTTGACGAGAAGGTGCTCGTACTCCACGGGTATTCCAGCCTCAAGTTCATTGTAATGGGCGATCTTGTCCTCAACGTCGGGGCCTGTGCAACGTAGGCTTGATTTGAACTTGGCTCTCCAGCGAGGCAGCACTGGTTTCAGGGCAGCCCAAAGCTTTCGAGCACTGTGCATGGATGCTTCACCCGCCTGCTCCGCTAACTGCTCATAAAAACATGCATCATCTGTACGCACCGCAGCAACCACTCTGGGCACTAAATCAAGATATGCACCAAGATGAACAGCTTCACGATGATCACACTGCCGCAGCCAATCACGAAAATGACCATCAACTGGGGTGGATGTCTTCCAACTGTCGAAGATTTGAACTAAGAAAGCGCGTCGTCGGGCTGCACGCAATTGCAGTAAATGCTTGCGGTGAAACTTCTTGGCCTGAATGAGCTTGCGGGTGTCATCTGTCAAGTGAGCCTTGCGAAAACGGATTTCTGGGACTTGCTGATTCCGCATCCAAGCCTGCAGTGCCGCTGCATGTGTATGCACATCAGTAGCCCAAGCCATATGAGGTACGCCAGCTGGAGACTTGACTGAAGGCGGCTTGCGCTTGACCAAAGGCAAAACTGGCACGTTCACTTGAGCCCGTACAAGGACATGATCTTCACAATGTATAGCTAAATCAACGTTTGCATCAAGCCATGTGCAAGTGAAGGAATCGGCCATCGCCGTTGGAATGGCAATGTAATCCAGTCTGGCTGGAGCTCCAGAAGGATGCGTCCACGTGTGTCCGTCCCCTTGATGAAACGCAGCGAAGGTTTGAGGCAACATCAAATTGTGCTGTAACAGCCATTGATGAAAATGAGCTCCTTTCGTGTTCTCTTCAACTGCTTGATGATCTCCAATGGCCACTGAGGTCACACTGCCTACGCGACTGTTTGCGTCAGCAAAAAGGAGCATCCTCCATGATCGATATTTTCGAGGCAAAGCTTCGGTGGTGGCTTTCCAAAAAGCTTCAAGAGTGCCCTCATCGTCTGTGGTGGGTGCGTGTAGAACAAGAAGAATCAGCCGCAAATGACCAGTCGTCCAACGGACTATCAACCGTTGTGATGTCTCATGCAAGATGTAAAGATGAGAATCTTCGACCTGCAAGCACATCTGACGGGTCTGGATATTTCTACGGATCCAGAGCTGCACACCACCAACTCCTCTTTGAGTCGCACTAGCTGAAAGAACATGAAAGTCTTGTAGGCGAGCATGTCCTGCAAGTCGGCTGCGGGTTTCTTGAAGGCCAACTACATGCAAGCCTGTTTCGTGGAATTGAGCTGCCAATGCTTCTGCACGCGCACTGAAGTACCCTGAGGCATGATCTTGACCAGGGAAAAGCGTCAGAACATTGGCCGACCCAAGTTGCATAGACAAGGGAATGACACGCCTGGGCTCGTCTGAGGCTTGCTGTTGTCGCCACCAAAATGGCTGATACTCAACTGCAGGTGTGCTGGTCAATGGGGAGGCAATGTTCATCTTCCAAGCTCTACCCTCTATGTGAGGAGCCCCAGAGCGCTGCTGCAGAGATTGCTCAAGAAGCCAGAGCCATTGCACTGTGACATCTTCGGTCTGGTCAAAGGTGCATTGATCATGGTATGCCTGCATGTCCGTCGTGTAGCGACCAGTTCTCAGAGCTTGACGGCATAGGACATCGGCAGCCTCATTCCAGGGATGACCTTTATGGCTCGGGATATGTTGCCAAGCAAAGGATCGCTGGCTAACTGCTTCTAACCATTGCACCAATGCACGTAAGACCGTCAACAAATCTGCGTTGGTAGTGATGCCATTCGTACCAGAAGCCGCACCAGCAACAGGTGCACAATCAAACGCCAATTCAATCCAAGGCTGGGGCGTGGCCGTGTGACAGAGAAGCTGTCGAAGCCAACGCAAAGCCAGGAAAAGCGCTGTGGCTTCTGCACGTGGAGCGGAGGCAATGCCCAAATTGGACGCTGTCGCATATCCACCCCATCTCGGACCCTGCTGAGTGGTAACGATCAAGACAACAGCCGCAGCAGCGGCATCCTGCTGCTTTGAGACAGTACCATCAGTGTAAAAGGTGAAGCCAAGCGGGATCTCGTCAGTCCATAAGAGCAAGCTCTCCAAAGCATCCCAAGTTGGTTGACGCCAAGGAATTCGGTCTACCTGAAAATCTGGCCGAACCGGTTCCCATAAACTGAGTTGCGTGCGCAGAAAAAGCACTTTGCTGCAATCAACTTGCACCCAAACTGGTGAAGGCAACATCTCATCCAGAGCCAGAACTGGGCGACAGCGAACATTCGTCTGAATCAAATTGACTGCCTCATCCTCTGAAACAGGTTCAAGAGTGCTCATAGGTTCAACCAGTTGAATCGCAAAAAGAAAGGCTGCTCCATGACGTACGGCAAAGACAGGTGCATAAGTGATTTCCTGATCCTGCCACCATGAGCGGCATACAAACTGATGCCCATGAGATGATCAAGGTCAATATATGTCGCAAGCACATGATGTGAAATCATGCGAGGGACACTCAGACATAGAATTCTGGGATGCCAAGGATCTGTGTCAGGATCAATGACAGCACTCAGGATCGAGGCTTGTTGAGGATTTTCGTGTTGGACAATGATGACATGAGCATGAATTTCAGGATCAGAGCCGTCGGGAACAGGATGTACAATATAACATGCAAGGTCCGCAAAGGGATCGATCCAATCTTCCCATGCAAAAATCAGTGCAGTCATCCACGTTGTAAAATCTTCATGAAGATGAACAACTCTACCAATACCACTATGAGGTCGCCGCTGAGGGTCCGAGTACCACGTTTCAACAACGAGCATCAAAGGTTCATGGGTATTCGGCTGCGCCCGTAACTGAAGAAACAATTGGAACAGATCCCGAACCAGGGGCGGTTGCTGCTGCAAGAGGTGCTGGTTTGGTAGCACTCGATTCGCTGCCTCTCGAAATTGCTGCATCCGTTGCGGATGTTCATCTTCAACCTTGTCGGCTGGGGCATCGCAAATATTGCCACTGATCTCAGAAGCAAGGAGCGAGGAAACAGCTCGGTCAGGATTGGCAAAGTCAATCACAGATTGCAGAAGCGCAGCCTCGTCTGAGTCAGAAACTATAGTGCGAAGAGCACGATGGTCACGAATGAAGGCATCAACAACCGTCATTCCATCCTCATGATCTGGCCGAGGATGTCGAGGAGGAGCATAGGATAATCTCAAGGGGTTCTGACGCACTCGGCTGACGCAGACACGAGTAGACAAAGCTGCTGGAGCTGCTGGCCATGGAGGGATTGCAATCCTCACATAATCTCCATGCATAATATGAAGATGACCAGGATACTGTAAGTCAACTAAGTCATGATTGTGCCAAACAAGACATCGTTGGCGTACTCTTTCACAGTACCGTCCAATGCCTGCGAAACTCAACAATGCACGTCGTGAGACTACCTGCGGTAAAGTGGCACATCGTCTGGACACACTGACATCAGTACTGGGCAACTTCTCGTGAAATTCCACATCCAACAGCACCATGCGATGCACAGAACCAACGGCCAGATCATCATAGACCTGTAAAAGCAAAGGTTCAATGTGAGCAGCCTGCAAATCTTGAGGGCCATCCTTAACATGATGCAGAACCACGATGTCATCTTCCGGAATACCTGTGATGTCCTCAACATAGGATTTGATTGTGTCCGCATTGTTCCACGGCAAATGCCCGTGAAAAATCTTCTTGCCCAACCGAAACAGATGGCAAAACCGCAATTGATCAACATGAGACTGCTCCGCAGATTCAGACATAGATCCCTCGGTCGGATCATGATCATCATGCAATATATCATCTTGTTGGGCAGCAGGATACATGTCAACAACAGGTTGCTGCGGTGGATGCACGTGTTGAGTCCATGCAGCCAAGCTAACCATGTCATTGTCCTCGATGGAGGAGGGAATTCGAACGTCAATACTGACTGCAATACCGTCACCAATAGGCTCAAGCTCATCATTGGGGTACTGCATGACACCAGTACGCACAATCCATCGACGATCTTGGAGGAATGGTTCAACCCGCATCATCCTGACCGCCTGATGACCACTCATGTGATTGGGCGACACAACGGCTTCTTGCAGCAATTGCGTACGATGATCTTCAATGAAACTCACCGTGAAAAGAACCCCAATCTGTTGTGGCTGATGTCCTTGAGAGAGAATCAAATGAGCAGCAAAAGATCGTGCATCCTCAGATGGTGGGGTCGGTTGAACCACTGTGAGACGCAAAGGTTCTCCTTCATGAAGAACACCTCGCCATGCTTCACGCACGTCATTAAGCCAATGATGATCCATATAGTCCAAGCGTACAGGACGAGGTTGTTGGCATCGCTGTTGGTGTGTATGATGCAAATACCAGGTCTGCACCTGCAAAACTCGCCCTTCATCTGCATGGTCAACCTGCGCATGTTCACGCCATAAACTGCGCAAGGAAAGCAACCAAGATTGCTGTTGATCATGAATGGCTTGAGCTCTGGCAGAAGAAGCCTCAGCAACGTCCAGAGCGGGCACTTCATCCGGGGAAACTGTAGAGGGTGAGCAAGTCACGTCCTGTTGTGAAGACGTTGAGGAAGAAGCTTCACCCATGAAAGAGTCACCTATGTCATGAGACTCAGGAGTTGTATTCCGGGAAACCTTCGGGATCAACACGGCCTGTAAAGACAGCGGTTCCACGAAAGGTCCATCTGTGCACCCGGAAGATATCAAAGAAACTGCCGAAGTATCTGAAGAAAGTAGAACTCCCTCATGAACTTCATCTTCAAAGCGTACACGACGAGAAGCAAAACATGATTTCAAAGCACAAGACTTCATCGGCGCCTCATCAAACTGATAGCAAGAGAACCCTTCCTCTTGCATGGAACATAAGTCGTAGCCAACGACCTGCAGATGATGATCATAGGCCAACTCGATGGCTTGCCATTCATTCATGAGATTCTCTTCTTGAAGGATGCTATGTGTCCATTTCTGCACATAGATGGACGCATCCACATCAAGGGATCGGCAAGTCTCCTGTCGGTCTACTTGCTTCCCTTGCCAAAAGGCTCCAAAGCAGCGGACTTCTTGGCCTCCGCAGTCGATGCTTCGGCAGGGTCTAGCCGTGGCTTCTTGGCGGCACTTTCGTCGAAGCTCTCCGCCTGCCGGGCTCGAATCTTTTCGAAGGAAGTGACCATGCTCTGAATGTCCGCAGAAATCTGTGGTGTGGCATCCTTCATGAGTTCCTCGTCGCTGATCTCGAGAACTTCTGAGGAAACCTGATCGCACTGATTCAGAGCTTCCTTGGAAGCTTCCATTTCTTCTTTGGCTGCCTGGAACTTTCCGATAGCAGTCTGAATGGCTTCCTGCATCTTGGCATCCTGCTTTCCAAAGTTCTCGCCGTGCTGATTCCAACGCTGCACGGCCGCTGCGATGAACTTGGCCCAGGAGCGATGCAAATTGTCGCGTGCCTGACGCGCTTGCATCAATTGATCTCTGGCATTTGAGAGACGCGAAACTGCACTCTGCATCTTGCGGGTGGATTCTTCTGGAGTGACCGCTGTAGCCACCGTCAATGCATCCTGAACTCCTTCCGACAAAGGCTGTTCCGACTTCTGGAGCTCGGCAACCAATCGATGGAGCTTCTCTTCCGCAGAAGCAGTTGCAGATTCCTTCTCCTCTTCGTCGGCATCGAACGACATCCAATCTGGCTCTGCATCGGGAACTTTGAGAGCCTTGGTGCCAGAATTTCTTTTGGCAATACCAGATGCCTTGCTCTGCTTCTTGGTAGGCTGTTGCCGGGCTGGGGATTTGGTAGCACGTTGTCTCGGAGACTTGGTGCGCTGCCGTTGATCCACCCAAGGGCCCGTAGATTGGTTGGCATAGCCAGAATAATCCCAATTGCCAGCATAGGTCCAAGCATCTTGTCCTGCCTGATTTGGTTCGCCTTTTTGGCGGCAACGAGGGGATTGTCGGTGGCGAGGAGATCCATGCTGTACGATCTGAACTCCTGCATGCCAAGCCGTTCCACATCCACTGCAATGATTGCTGGTCAACTTGCAGTCCTGTCGACACCATGGGCATCTCCAACATTGGCCACGATTCGCCATTGCGCTCCTCAAACGATGTAGAAACCGCTGATCCAAGGAGTGATGCCGGGCAAGCGTGGCGTGGATACGTTGGATCCTCAATGTTGGAAGCTGAACAAAACCTCGTTGATGTAGAAACCAGTCCCTCCGAGCTTGAGCTCGTTGACGCCGCTGGCTGCGACGCTGAGAGGGTGTCGTGGTTCACAGACTGGAGGTCAATGCCCTTAAACAGAATCGAAATCAGGATGATGATCTGCAAAAATGCCGTACACATACACAAGCAAGGGGAGCAAGAAGCAGCGCAAACCAATGCCAGGGCTTGAAGGGCTCGAACTGAAGCACAGGAGATTCAGCCTGCTCCGGACTGAAGAGCTCAAATGCCCAGCGCAAGAAGAGCAGCCCGCGGGATCGCTGATGGCAAGCCCGCTAAGATTTGGAACACCGGGGGGCTAGGTAACTAACTGTTCCCGAGCCCAAACCTTATATATATATATATGCATAGTCAATAAAATATCACTGGAACTGGGTGACGGTTTCCATCTGTGAAAGATATGAAAGTCGCTCTGCCGCTGTCCCCACTGCCTGTGAAGGTTGCGAGGTGTTTCCTGACGCAGGTATTCTTGGAAGGATAAGCTGACCCAAGAATCTGGGGATCAGATTGGCAGATTTAGTTTGTGAGTTTTACCAATGTTTACATCAAATTTGTGGATTCAGTGGGTTTTCCCTGAACCCACTGGGATTCAGCCAGTTGGATCAAATTCTCAGGGGGTAACCCAAACAGTGTCGCGCCATTGCGCGTGACTCTTTGGCCCCAGATGGTTACCTGGATTTAAGAATTCAAATGACCAAATGGGGATTAAACATGATAAAACCCAGCAAAAAAAACAACAGGACCCTAGAATGGAGGTACCAGGTACCAAAATTCCCTGTGAATCATCCCAGTGACGTGAAGAATACCCGGTAGTGCCCTTTGTGCAGGCAGAATAGAAGACTTACCCAAATAGGAAATTCAAGATAGATATTGCAAATGGTCCATTCATGATGATTTACCCATTAAACATGATGAAATTCCAGTTCGCTATGTGACCGGAGGCTACAGATTCTGCACCCTCCGTAACAGGTCAGTGGCCCAAATCTGTGGTTTCGAAAAACACTTTTCGACACCATGCCCTTGAACGTTTGCGGCAATTTCAACTCAACCCTGTCTTCGAATTCTTGAGGTTGAGACTGTGATTTTCCGGTATGGAAAACATAGTCATATAAGTCACATAAGTCAAAAATATACATCCCGTATATTCCAGTATCATACTTGCAATGGTCAGTCGTTACATGGGATTTTCATGGTGAGTTTTCCCCATCCCACCATGAAATTGGAAATCCTGCCGCCGAATTCTCCTGGTTCCAACCCAAAGCCTGGTGAAAACTCTCCTGGTGAAACCCAACTTCAGAATTTTGGGGAACTCTATAGGTTAACCCAAAAAGATGCAGAAAAGTGAGTTATAAATATGTCAGTAGGATTTTACCAAAATCTATTTTCAGGGGTTACAAAAAATGATGTCCATGAAATTCATAGCAAATGCAGTTTTTTTCATTCATGAGGTGTTGTTTCATGCCACCATCGAATACCATCATTGGCTAACCAAAAACATCCAAAAATAATATTTCAGAATTCAGGATACTTCTCAAAATCCCAAGACAACACACATCCCAGATCCATACGCCACAGTCCCACTCTTCATCCATATGTTGATGGGAACCCCAGACAGCCTGGAGCGGCCTCTCCTGCATGGTACCTGCATGCAAACGGGCGGCGCAATCCCCATCTCCATGTGAAAATCACACAGAAAAACCATGCACAAATGGGGAATTTGTTCATTAACAGATTAGGATAGCGGAGCCCATAGATTGTCATCATATCCCATCCACATGCGATTGGAATCCCATCACTTCGGGGCTCAGCAGTGGCGCACTTCTGGTTATCGAAGCGTTTCCGTTGCTCTGCCATTTTGGCGGCCTGCGACACAACATGAATTGTCCAGACTCGACTTGATGGGGTGATGAGTTCAAGGACCTCAACAAGTTCGTGGGGATAACATTGACTACTCAATCTGGTTGGTGGTTTCAACCCCTCTGAAAAATATTACATTTATCACATTTATCGGACAGCACCAGGGCAGTTGAAACGACCCTGCTGCTTGGCACCTTCATGTTCACGCAGTCTCCACGTGTTGTGGAGAAAAGTCCTGGAGATCAGCAGCCGTAGTTAGCTGCTTCCCTGCAATGTGAAAAATGTATGAGTCCAACACTCGCAATCTCTCCACGCTATACCTAAGTCTGTAGGAGACCAGCCAGCGTGAGACAGAACTTGATGAAGGTCTCGTCATTTTCTTGCAGAGTACAATCTGATGTGCTCCCAGGTAACGCTGGAAAAGTTGCAAAAATTGTTTCGTCCTGGAACCCCATGGCCGTCTCGCCGCCATAGGCGCTGCAGCTTCGGTATCAAACCATCGCTTGTTTTGTACCTACGGGCCAAAATGTTGCGTTACAAGATGAAAATCCAGAAAAAGTTGAATACCTGAAACAAAAAGCAACTCTCCTTCATGTCCCATCACACTATTGCCAATCGCACTCCACCATCGATGGACTGCTTCCACATTCGCTTTCCCATACTTGACACACATCTTTGTCGGCAGATGCCACCCGGTTCGTGGCGCTGCCGGCACCACAACTGCCTCGGGTACATCAACTTTACGGTAGGCAGGAGCCGTTTGCTGAGCCGCCATTGCCTTCCGCCCCGTTTTGAGCAGCACTTGCAGTATGGCCTTGTGCAACTTGCGGTGAAAATCTAGTGCATCGAAAAGCCTCTGCCACGCTGTCCAAAAAATTTCCGTTCTTTGAGCATTAAACGAGGCTGCTGCTGCATCCACCAATTTGTTGTGCCAGTACGCCCATGCCTCCAGCGGATCCTCCGCCTTGTGCACCTCTGCGTGAGAAACAACCTTGGCCACTTGGACATGGTCCTCACCCCATCCTGTCAAGACGTCTGAAAGTTGAAGCCACAGATCGCTGTGGGATCTATTGACACGCACAGCGCCACCCTGCAGCAAAGCTCTCACACCTCGCACCACTGACTGACAATCTGACCAGATTCTGACGGAAAAACCACCCTGTTTTGCCCACCGCACTGCCGCTAACACTGCAGTCAATTCGGCCCTGTAGGCCGATTGGTTGAGGCCTGCCACGTGGCCACCAAGCACAACCTTATGCTGCAAGGTGCCAACACCTCCATGAGCCCATGTGACGGCCCAAGCTGCGTACCGCAATTTTGGTTCCCGTGGGAATGCTGCAGTACCATCCACAAACAGATCAAGCCATGCATCATGCTGGACAGGGACTTGACAGACCGGAGACTGGACACAGACCTGGGGACCTAGAAACAGACTGGACACTATCTCCCACTCAGGCAAGACCACTGGCCACCCATGCGCGGAAAGGCATGGCGGCAACTGCTCAATCGCAGCAAGCTGTTCCTCACTGACATGAGTACGGCAGTCAGAAAAGTATGGACAAACCCAAGCTCGATGATAAAATCCATCAGTATGGGAACACCAGGGGCATTGGTTCGTGACTCCAGCCTGAAACTTGGCTCGGCCATTTTGTGTAAACAACGTTCCATCCAAATGACACCTCAGAACTACCAAGTCCGCCGGCCCATAAGGTCGAAGTGCAGAACGCAGCTCACCCAAATCAACATGTTGAACCCCTAGGAAAGAGGACCGATGACCAACGGCCTGAGCCATGACGCGACCCCAAGCCAGAGAAAACCGCAGCACCAACTCATCCCAACCAATTGTCATCAGACTGAAATTGCCCAGACCATCCTGCACAAGTCCATTGCCACCGACCTTCCACCCAACCCGTTCAAGCCTCGCTTTCAACACTGCAGTGGGTCCATTAGCAGGTAAGTCCAGGTCCTGCGCATAAAGTCCAAGCATATTTTCAACCCTAGAAAGACCTCCAAGCTCACGTGCATCCCGGATGGTCTGAAGGATGACCCAGGCTTCCGGATCCCCTTGGAGATGGGCAATGGGCAAGTGTAACACTGGATTGGCACCTTTGCGCTCTGCACGCAGCCCTTTCATGGCGCCTGAGCGCGCTTTCTTGTAGTGGTCCCCACCGATATGGACAATGGAGCAACCATGAAAAGCTTTGGGCCACCCCAGCATTCGCAAAGCAACATGCTTATGCCGATAGGGACTCAGGCTGGCCCGGAGCTTAACCCAAACCATAGGCATTGTGGCTAACCGTTTTTGGAGGATTGAATTCCAGCAGTGGCGGCTAAAGTTTTGGTGAGCACCAAGATTGCGGACAGCATGGGAGAGCTCAAGAGGTCCAGCACGGAAACTGCTACGGGTAGAGGGCTGAGTGCTCCACACTTTGGTCTTGGACAAATCGATGGTCAAATCCATGCAAGTGGTGAAGTCCTGAAATCGAGTCCAAATTCTGTCCAGCGCTGAGCCTTCACGGAACATAACCCCCCAGTCATCGATAAAAGCTTGGAGCAATGGGGGATTGTGAAGTTCTTGGAGCCACAAATCCAACATCCAATCCACCACTACCATGCCAAAAACCGACAGGGCACATCCTTCAGGTAACCCACAAACCGAAGCAATAGGTTCACCAACGCTAGAGCGCACCTTGAACCGACGGACCTGACAAGAAACAAACTGAACCCAGGCACGAAGCACCGAGACTGGAAAACCAAGGCAAGTAAGTGCTTTCCAAAGCGGCAACCTAGGAATGGCATTGAAGCACTTCCTTATATCCATCAAAAGTCCATGAAGTGGTGCACCATCCATGTAGGCATCTTCCAAGGCTTGAGCAACCGAGTACCAGATTTGTTTGGCCTGGCGAGCCGGAAGCCCCCCCTGCACACTGGTGGGAACCACCCGACTGATACACCGCAAAGCCTCTTTGGCTCGCTCCGATGACCAAACCCGGTAGGGCAAACCATAAACCGTGACTGGCCTGAAAGAGTCCACTGCTTGGGCATCGGGCTGCTTGGCCAGGCTTGAGACAAACCCAGTAGCCAATTGCATGGGCCATGGGGTCCCCGACTCAATCGAGGCAAACATGTCAGCAAAAGCTTGATGGCCAGCAGGTGGTAAGGCCGCTAAATCCGGCTGGGTCACTCCATCTGGCCCTTTCGCAGCATACTTCTTCTTATGAGAAACCGCAACAGCAAACCGACGACTGGACCAAGGACGAAAAGACCAAACCATGGGTTGCAGACGAGACTGGACAAATCCACAAATTTGAGTCCATTGGCCTTCTACCACATGTGAAAGCTTATTCCACCGAGGCTCCCAGACCTGCCGGAACTGCGACAAAATGTCACGGTCTTGCAAAACTGCGCTCTCTTGGGTCAAGAGCATGCCGACTTCAACTCCAGTGACATCGTTGACCCAGACCTGATCAGCTTCGTGATGAAGCACTTCAACCACTTTGCCTCCTACAACCACAGGGAAATCTGGCAGCAGTTCTGTAGGGGAAGCCAAAACCAGCGAACAATCATCAGGACACACCTCATCCACTCCGGCTTCAACCCGCTGGAGCAACATATCAACCTGGGGCGGCGGTTCCGCTTGACAGTCCTTGAAAACGTATTGAAGAGACTGGCTGCGTCTCTGTTTTCCCTGCTGGTAACGGGTTTGGGCAAGTTGGCTTTCATAGGACTTCACCCATACTTGGTAGGAGGCAAACATGGCTTGAACCACTTCTGCATCAGGGCACAACAAGGAGATACCATGAGGGAAACTGGGCTGGAGTCGATGAGCCGCCCACCACGGGCCAAAACCACCAGGGAAACCAACTGCATTGCGCACTGCTCTCCACGTGTCATCTCTATTGAGCTGAGCAGACCATGTCAAAGGTCGGACCTTCAACTGCTGAGACAAAGCTTGGAGACGTCTCAACTGTTTGAAATAGCGGGCATGCTGGAGGCTAACCCCTAAGAAGCTCGGTTGAACTTCTCCATACCTGGCCTTCCTACATGGGCTCCACCGGTAACAGCAAGTTTTGGTGGTCAAGGTCTGGGCACGACCTCTACATGCTTTACTAACCAACTTACCCCCCAAGGCATGGTAGGCAGCAGCACGCAGTTCAAGGCTATTCCACAGGTGAGCATATGCCGTGGTGGAATCAGGCTCCGCATTCCAGACAAAATCACCATCCCAGTGCTCTGGCCAAGGGAAGTCCCCTGGTTGGCGCCAGGCGTCATACTTCATTTGCCCCCCCAAAGCAGAAAAAGTTGCAACCACCGAGGCATGGTCTGCCCAATGATCCCAATGAAGAGTGACATTGGTCAAAGCAACCTGAAGTTCTGGTGAAATCCACATGTGATCTATCCTTTTGGCCCCTCGGCCGGTGGCCGACACATCAAGCCCCCACCGCCAAGCAGCAACATCTTGCACCTCACGAAATCCAAGTTCCTGCAGCCGTTTGAGTTGGCCCAGTTCTTCGACTGCATAATTGAAATCGCCCGCTATCACGCGGGGCCCTGCTGATTGAAAGGCAACTCGATCAATGATGTCTGCCAACATACTCTCGGTCTGAAACTTGGCTTGCTTGTGACTGGCATTGCAAGGGAAACCATACAGCATGCCAACAGTAACCCACACCCCCTGAACTGCAACCCCTGCAACCTGCATACGAGCGGAGGCATATAAGTCCAAGTCAAAACTGTGTGATACTGCTCGGGCGGGAAAACGCGACAGCAACAACACCCCTGAATGAGTACCTGTAGCATTCAAACCCCGGACGGGGCAAGGAGAGCCAGGAACCACATATTTCCACGGAGTGGCCAAGGCATGCAGCCCTTGTTTGAACCTGGAAAGTCCATGTTGCGATAAGTGTGTTTCGGTCATCACCCAAACATCACCGTCTAAGGCTGCCACCTGGTCAACTTTTCCATTAAGGCCAGAGGGATTTGCCACCCCCAAGCGCCAAGTCACCGGACTGTCAGGGCCTGGATGTGAAGCTTCACCAATCCGAAGCAAGGACAGCAAAAGCACACCAAAAGTCCAAGCACCCAAACAAGACCGATAAACTGACCTGCACGAACCTGGCTTGCGGTGCAAAAACTGGCCTCCCTCAACAAACGACAACTCCACGTGAAATCCAGTGATGAGCCAAGAAAGAAGTCGCCTGAACAAACCCAGGGAAGAGCCAAAACACCGCCTCAAGCCGATCACTGCCAGACAAACACCCGCCGCACCAAAACTCCCCACTAGGGACAAGAACGCAAGTGCCCGGTAAATCCAAAAGGGCTCACCCAGACCACCATGGCCACTGCTGAACCAACCCGAAACAGCCATAAGGCTCCGCGACAAAGGCTCCTCAGCTTCCGTGTTCCTTGCTGCTACGTGGCCTACTGCTGCAGCCCGATCACATGACCCTCCTCCACTCCAAGGCAAGAGGTGACAAAGTCCACCCAACGGGGAACCCCCGAAAAGACAAAGCACCCCAGAAAGCACATCGACGCACCAGGAACTGCGTCCGAAAAAGGTGACACCGGTCCGAGTGGACCATGCCCTGCCCAGACTTTCCAGACCTGCACAGTCCAAGTCCAAAATGGTCTGAAAGCCATGACAAGACCAACGCCGTAGACAAATGAGGCACCTCAGGAATTGCACCAGAAAACCGACCAAGACAAACACCACCAGACAGAGCCGCAAAACATGACACCGAGGATCCAAACAAAAGTCCACACAATCTGAGAGTGCCCGGCAAGTCCAAGTGGGCTGACACCAATCCCCTTGACTGTTGCAAGTCCACACCTGATTGGCCCCAGGAGCCTCTTCAAGCTGCTGCGCATCGAAAAGGTCTAACCCAGGCAAACGCAAAACTGAAAGGTCTTCTACCTTATAGGGTTGAAACGCCAAAAGGCTCAACAAACCAACCACCCACAAAAACCAAACCATACAAAACATGCCCCCATCTGGTCCTTCCCAACCCCACCTGGAGGCGAATAAGGCTGGGCACCTTCACTCCGGTTTATGTCTCTTTGCAAGGAGGCTCTCAAACTGCGCCATCTGTTTTGAGAACATCCCATCCAACATGGCTTGCTGATGACTAACCTGCTGACGGAATTGCTCCTGAAAGGAATCTTTGAATCCTTGCAAATGAGTGGCCTGGGCTGCAAGTGCCGTGTCAAAATGGGCCCCTTGAGTGGTGACCTGCTGTTGCAAATCGTGAAACTGACTGGCATGGTCGCTGGCTTGTTGCTGCAGACATTGCTGGATTTGCGTGGTGTGCTGGTGCAAATCAGTGACCTGCTGTTCTAACACATTGAGTCGCGCATCATGCGGCTCAGTGCTGTCAACTTCCATGGCTGTTTTGGGCAACTGGGCCAAGACCTGAGCTACAATTCGGGACTCCATATCTTCAACCGGGCTGCCAATTGCAAAGGTGGGCACTTTGCGATCTGGTTTGGCAGGGCGTGCCCAAGGGTCATTGATCTGCAACTCATCACCCTGGGTCTGATCTTTCGCCACCATAGCCATGGTGGCTGGGGCTGCCACCACCTTGGGTCCTTCAACCACCATCTTCTCCTCCATGTCCTCTCGTGTAACGACGACATCACCATGGGCCATCTGCAACACCTTGGCTGGCGGCTCTGTGACTGCCTGCACCTTATACATCAAACCTTGCACATGCGCCCCTGCAGGCAGCGGTTGCAGTGGACGGGCGGTCCATCCTTTCTTCTCCAAGGCAACCCCAACAGAATGCTTCAAAGTACCAAAAGGAAAAGGGCCTACCCGGAAAACTTGGCGCCTACCGGCAGGCAAATACGTCATCCCTGGCTTGGTTGTCTGGAAAACCAACGCCGCATGTTCAGCTTTGCATCTCAAACCCAACTTGTTGCCCATGCGGGCGATGCCGCAGACTTCCTTGATTGTTTGGCGCTGGATGACCAGTTGGTCCATAGAGGCTTTTGGGAACCAAATGACTTGGTACAACTCGCTAGGCTTGCGTCCATCTAGGGACTTGGGCTCGAGGAACACCCCTGCATACCCACTGAACTCCTGAACTGCATGCTGCAACATCTCAGGCACCCTAAGGTGAACTGAAAAAACCTCTGCTTTGTCGGGGGAACTGTGAGTAAAATTCAGGTAGAGCCATTGTTTCCCCCAAAGTTCAACCACTGGCTCCTCCATAGGATACTGAGGGGTATGATGCCAAGCTTCACACCCCAGGCATTCAGATTCCTGACAAACCTGCAGCGGAGGAATCTTGGAAAACACGTGCTTCAAAGGGTGAGCGACCACCAAAGTCCAATCTTCAACCGTCATGTCTCGATACACCATGGCCTTGACCACACAAGTCGCAACCGTTTGGATAGCACAGTCCACAACAGCCGGAGCACGCACCACAGGAATAGCACCAAACTGTACCAGGAAGGCATCAGCAAGCACAGGCTCGGAGTTGGTCGCACAAACAAGTGGCACACGCACAGCTTCACAGTGACGATCCGTAGGAGGGGCATCATGACAATCCAACACCAAGAACCCAAGAGCACCTGTGGACAGTGGCTGGTTGGTCTGCAGATAGGGCAACGCTAAAGCCAGAGAAGTCAAAACCACACCCGATGCATCAGCAGTCCACCCTGCCAAGGATACTTGCGCCAGAGGCATACCTTCTTTGGTCTGAAACAACCCGGTGTCAACTCGCAACATGTTGGGATCAAGCTTGGTGGGAAACATGCTTCTGGCGGACTTACCTCGACCTTTGCCTTTGCCAGATTTGTGACGCTTGGATCCAACCGGTTTCTCAATGCGCTTGGCAATGGTACTCTGCAATTCAGATGGCTTGATCAGCGTCAAAGGTGGGCGCTGCTGATTGGCATGCCACTTGAGTTCTTGCCAAGGGTTGGTTGCTTTCATGGCTTCTACTATTGCTTTATCCCCCAAGGCTTTCTGAATCAAACCAACCCTTTGAGAAACATCCTCAACCGGGACCCCATGCTGCATCAAAAGCTCTCCCAAAAGTCCAATGGGTTCAAGTCCAAGGGCTGCAAGACGTGGTTTGAGACACTCCTCCGTGAGGGCATGTGCAAAGTCCATACGCAGAGACTGAGCAACCTCAGACACCTGTGCCTCAGTGGTGATCATAGGATCCCCCCACAACAAGTGCTTGACAAAAGCCAAAGCAACCGCACCACAGTGAGAAACAGGCAGAAAACCCAAATCAAGGGAAGACCACTGCATGATTTCACCAGACCGATGGACACCAACAATCTTGTTCAAGAAATCCAAAGCTGCACTATGTTGAGCAACCACTCCACAAGTAAAAAGCTTAGTGCAAGAGCCATCCATCCGCCACACCAATGGATACCAGTGAGTGTCCAGGACAAACGCTGAAATGGCCGTGGCTTCCACTCCCAAAGCGGCAATCAACTCATGCCAAGTGCGACTTTGACTGTCAACGAAGAGCCCAGACACCAACAAGGGGTCCCACACATGGACCTTCTGATCCACTCCCGTTTCTTTGGCAATCTGATGCAAACCATGCAAAAGTTCATCATCTCCCCACACCAGACCCTGTTGCTGCAGGATTTGAAGTCGTTCAGACCTAGGCATGAGTTCCTGACGTTGCCCATGCAAGGCTGTCAGGGTTGACACAGCATAGACATTCCAATCGCCTGAGGCCGGAGGGACCTGATCAGACACAGCAGAACCTAGGGTTTCAGAAACAGCTGGCGGTTGAAGTCCAAAATCCAAAATCACGCCATCAGTCAAAACCAAGTCCAAGTCCATAAGTTCACCTGCTACCCAAACCGCATCCGCAACTGCATGACCATGAATAGCCTGCTCTGCTTCAAGTACATGTCGAGCCGTGGTTTGTGGCGCACATGTCACTGCATGAACTGTAGCATCTTGATGCCAGCGCACCTCAACCTGAATTTCCGGTCTGGTGGCAACCGGAGAATCGTTCACCGGAGTGGCATCTTCAATAGGATCAGGGGACCCTGGCATTGGCACTGGTGTGGAGGGCCACTTGACTGCACACGCCTGCAAAACCTCAGCTGCATATTCCCGGACAATTGTGTCTGGTTGGCATTGGGAGCGTCCAAGGAAACCATCAAGCAACTTGCGCACATGGGCAAAAGTCCACAAAGCTTGCAAAGGGGCCACGCACTGACCTACCCCTGACATAGCTAACCTCAAATTAGGACCAAAGTCAGCAGTAGGGAAACCTCCCAAAAGAGCAAACATCTCTGCCGGGTGCAAGTACCTACAATGCTGCATGTCAATGTGCATATGCTTTTGGAAGGTTCCTAAGGGAATCAAAATGCCCACCAAACCCTTGCTTTGCAATCTGGCTTCCGACAAAGCCGGGCGGCAACCACAGGCACACACATACATCTGGTTCCCTGCGCTGTGAAGCAGCGTCGGTGCCACACCTTCCAAGTGCAGATAGCAATTGTTGACCCCATTCACGGCATATGCATGATACTTGCTAAGCTCATACAGATTGAGCTGGAGTTGTTGAAGATCTCCATGCGCCAAGAGAGGGTACTCAGGAAAAAGGGAGGACACCTTGGGACACAGACCTAATGGCGGCATAGGCGGCAAATCCAAAGGACCCAAAATAGGAGCTGAGAGCACACCAAACCAACGGTCACGACGAGAACACCAGGAATCAGACAACCGGAGGATAGTCTGACAAAGACGGAAACCAGTCAGAGAAACAAACCGCTTCAGAACTTCCTGAAAAGCACTGTCATTGAGCACCCCAGGGACACATTCCAAGAGAACCACAGCTGATTGCAGCATCCATGCTGTGTAGAGTGCTCGGGGCAAAGTGTCTGCCCGGTCATCCTGCATGCTCTTGCGATCACCTAGGGCACTGTGCGGTTGACAACTGATCCCTGCGGCAAGAATTCCATGGTGACAACCCTTGTCGGACAACTGCTTGACAACTTCAGTGGACGCAAGATCACCACAGACAAATGCCGTGTCTCCTTCATGTAAGGTCTTAAAAAGTGGCTCCCAGATTGGGTTGTGATCTACTCCTACACAGGCCGACAACTGGACTCTGGCTGCGACACTGGACCAAACCCCAATACCTGAACACAACTCAACTACTTTAGTGAGGTCGGATGCTTGACACTGAGGGACTGGCAAGACAGTGGCATCTGCATCGACAGACACAGAGACGGGACAGACATTGGTGACCTGCACGTCTATCAGGGCAACCGTGGTGGTTGCAGGCAACGACCCTTGCACAAACACCTTTTGGGCTTTTCGGTCAACCGACTGGGAGACATGAAGCAACAAATCCTCTTGGAGGTTGCGGCAAATCATGTGAACAACCATGCTGACTCTTTGACCAACAATCAGTCTTCCCCAATCAATTAACGAACCCATGGCCACCATAGCTAAAAGACCCTCAGGAATTCGTTTGAACAGCGCAACCAGCTGGTAGGTTTCCTGAGCCAGCGCTTCTGAAAAATATTAGTCAGTTGGGAGCATTATTCCATATTATTCCCAATATATAGAAAAATATGGAAAAAGAAAAAATGATCCAAAACACCAACAAGCAATCTTTTTGGTCACCTCTACATTGGTTGTTGAGGAATTCTTTGATGATTGATGGTTTAAAACTCCCAGGCGGCACCAACAGTTGTGGTTTATCTTTATTGATCATCTCTCCCGTTTCGGCATATGGATTCTTCCCAACATGGCAAAGCCTATTCAGCCTGGAAAAAATGGCAGGATATCTTTATATGGGTACGTCCAAAAAAGGCGTATTTTGAATAGGGGAGAAGCACAATAAAACCATTGGGTACTAGGGGTGCCTCATTTTTGACAAACCCAACATCCATCAAATCAACATTTCAACCATGTTTAAATGATTTTTGCACTCATGTCCCCACATGTGATTTCCCATCTCCATGTTTGACCTGAGGGATCCGAAAATCTCTCGTTGACCCACCTGCCTCTTCCATTTGCTGCTTCGAGAGAACAGGTTTGACCCATGGCGAGCTTTGATCCTGATCAGCAAAAGCCTGGAATCCTGGAACTTCCCGACCTGGTTTTTTTCCCAAGGACAGCCAGTTTCAACCCTGGCCTAGGGAGACCCATCCCAAACCCCCAGGCCCCCAGGTGCACACCGGAACCACCCTGGAACCTGCACCAAAAGCCCCAGAACCATCGGGAACCAATCCTGCAACCCATACCAGAACCAACACAGGGGAACCCCCTGAACCATCGCAGAACCCGCACCAGAACCGACCACAACGCAACTTCGTAGAACCTCCTGGAACCATCCCAGAACGCGCACCCGGAACTCGCACCAAAGGATGCGCCGAACCTTTATCCAGGGTGAGAACTCCAAGCTAACGCTGTTGGGGAAGCATGTCGTTTGGCCGTCTGAGGTCTGGTGCACCTCTATCATATGTATACATGTTTGTAATAATACATTTAATGGTTTGATCCCTCTTTCTTCATCAGCAAACCGATGGAAAGAGGGAAAAGGACCTCTATGGTGCAACAGGGATTCAAATAGCGCAGGTCTATTTTTCAGGGGTGTCAAAAGTTGTGACAATTCCAGCTACATCTTGTACCCAGTGATCAACTGGGAGCTTGTTGATCCAGGGTTCTAAAACCCTGTCGGATTTTGGTCATGCGAAAGTGGCCCAACTGTGCGCCAAGAGGAACATCACCATCAAACTTCCAAATCTATGGAGTTCCTTCCTCAAGGATCAAGCCCGGTCCCTTCTCTCCCATGTTGGCCACTTTAGCCCAGAATTTCATGGCTTTTGCGCCACCTCTGACAAAGCAGCTACAATCACAGTATATCACCATCCCACTACCAAAAACGGAAGAAAATATCTCAAGCAACGTCCAGAAATGTTGGGGTCGACATTTCATACCAGAAAGTCACCAGACATGATGTAATTCCCCTGGAATTGGAAACAAAACTTGGATTGTAGATGACAAATCAACCGATACACTAGTATCACATACAAATAATATCCACCATACGCAATAATGCTACAAGCTTCAAACCCATTTCCCATAAGCTGCCAGTTGAAACAATATCCCATTCTAAAGCCCGTAAATGCCCATAAATCATGATTATCTCCATGTTTTGATGAAATATCCCATTCTAAAACCCATAAATCATCATAATCTCAATCTCCATGTTTGTTGAAATCCACGTCTTCCATCTAAAAACGCTCCGAGCACGCCACCCCGCCGGCCTCAGAGACCTGCATTGAGGGCGCCGAAGACGGCGCCATCCAAGTCTCGTCAGGCTTGGAGGACGTCGAAGCAACGCCTTCCGCCTGAACAAAGTAGGTTCAATGCTAAACATGCATAATTATTATGGGTATATTATTATGGGACAATTATAGTATGATTATGGGTTAATATATGGGTGAATATATGAGACAAAGGTGTATATATCTGGGCAAATTATAATAATTCACAAACCTGAATTGTTGGGCCATTTTGGGATGATTCCCCTAAAATAAACCATGATTCCAGTGAGTTCGCAGTGAGGTCGTTATAATTTACCCATATATATATATACATACATACATGCATGCATACATACATACGTACATACATACCATCCATACATACATACATACATACATACATACATACCATAACATAACATAACATAACATAACATAACTTAACTTAACATTACATTACATTACATTACATTACATTACATTACATACATACATACATACATTGCACAATATAACATGCATATATATATATACAATATAATATGCATATATATACATATATATATATACATATATAATATAATATGCATATATATATATATACAGGTATACATCACACTGACATATAGGTATCCATCTATTATACATAAATATATATAAGTTAGCATGAGGCAATCCCGTCTTTTTACAGACCGCACCCCCTACAATACAATAGATTTTAAAGCGGTCGAAACAAAAAGATGGGATTGCTTTACCTTATAGATAATAACATAATCAACAATAAAATCATAACAACAAACAACAAAAAGGAAAAAAACAAAGCAACATAAGCAATACACTAGATTATAAAATAGACTATACCAAAAACCATAACAACAAACCAAAACAAAAGACAATTTCACTTTTATAAAATGAAATTTAACTATCATTCTTCTTCAAATTCTCCTCATGCTTCAAAGTGTTGGTGTGCCTCTTGTAATTTTGAGTTTGAATTTCATAATCATCACTTCAAATTTATGGAGATAATCAACATAATTCTCATAATCATTTATTATGAAGATTATGGGATTAATTACCACAGTCTCCCCCTATAGGGGAAGCCTCAGCCTCCAGCCAATATACTATCCCAACCCCCAGCATACATACCAGCATACATACAAACGAGCATATCACAACAACATCACATCTTTCTCAATCTCAAATCTCTTTAATTACCGCAATTACCATGCCCAAACCACCCTTCATGAACTTGTTGATGACCATGTCTTCTTAACCTCAGCGCAATGTAAATGGCACAGCAATCCAAACTTTTGGGGCGAAATGGAGTGAAAAAGATTTGTGTGGTGTGCGTCCAGACTTGTTGGTGCCAATCTTCTCAAGTTTTTGGAAGGGTTTGTCTTTGTATCAGGCATGAATGCACTGAATGTCAAGCTTGTGAAGGCTCACTGGCATGAACATGCAGGCCTCTTCAATCACAAAGGATCTGCTCACAGCACTGTTTTGCAAGTCCCCCTGTGGGCAAAGCAAGCATTCTCACGCACTTTCTTCATCGCCAAAATTGGCTTTCGACTGGCGTGAAGAATCATAATGATCAACAACACCAAACGCCAGCGGGGCAAGTTTTTTTACATTTAATTCGCAGAAAGGCTGCCTTGGTCTGATTTGATTTGCCCGTGAGGGGATTCCCCAGCTCATTCATGGCTTGCGAGGCATCCACAGTGCCTGTGCTGTTGGTGTCTGCAGCTCCAGCGCTCAATGCAAGGATGATGAGGCAAGCGAAAAACGGATTGGCGCCATGGAAATTGCCGACACCCCTGAGCTAAAAAGCGTGCCCGAGTGGTTTGAGCAAAAGATGCTGAAAAATGACACAAAATTCCAAGCTCAAACTGAAAGAGCTAATTTCTGTAGCTTTCCAATTGAGAATGTCAAAAATGCTCAAAATGAAACAACTTCCAAGGTCAAGCTCTCCAAGAACATGTGGCTTCAAACCTCGGACTGCCATATTCCCAACAGCTGAGCGCCCCGACAACAGGATGCAGAAGAGATTGATGACAAAGCCAAGGCGAGGAAGGGCAAAGGAACATAGAGTAGTCCCAGCCAATGACCCAAACGTGCCAAACACAAATTCGTGGGGAAAACAAATGAAGGGCAAAACACACAACCCCGAAACCAAAAGAGCACATCAAATCAACCATCTCATGGTTGCATCATGGCTTTCTAAAAACACTAAATCTTTAAAAGTTCGTGTCTCATCAACAATCTTGGGTAATCAGTTAATTTGTAATATTTTTGGTTCAACTGTTCTGCAATCTCTTGCACAACATAATAACCTTTCAGCCAGTGGGAAGTTCTTTCTTTCTCTGTAATTGCTTTCTTTCTCATTATCTTTACTTTGTCTCCCACCTCTAATGTTGGATACATCCTTTCCTTCTTTGCCTTTGATGCTACATTCAGCATTGCCCTAAATTCATGTTTCTCTTTCCTTGCTTGATTAGGTGTCATACCTGTAGCGGAGTGTTTCATCTTATCATTGTATGTCAGCATAATTTCTAAATTGTAATCAACCCATTGTATGTTTGCCTTTCCCTTTTTTTCATCAGCCTCCACTCTTTTAAAAATCATCTCTTTGTATGTGCGTATAAATCTTTCAGCAAATGCTGGGTGTCCTCTAGTCCTATGTAAGGTTATACCTTCACCTTCCACATAATCCTTAAAGTCTTCACCTGCTATTGCTCTCTCATCATCTGTATAAATCATTTTAGGCTTCTTACCCATTTTCCCTAATGCCTCTTTAGTTGCTTCAAGGACATCCTCCACATTTTTAGTTTTGATTGGAACAACAACGGCATACTTGCTCAAAACATCAATGCACACTAACCCTCCTCTGAACTTTTGTTCCTCATCAAAATCATAATACCCCATAAAGAACAAATCTATCTGATAAGTATGATTATTTTTCGGTGCTGTGAAGGAATTATACCCTCTTTGCTTTGCTTTTATTTCAACATGTTTTCTAAAGAATTGTTCAACATCCTCTTTCTTGATTGTAGGTTCTTTCTTTTTAGCATCTTCTAATGTGGTCTTTCTTGAACCATAGCCCGCTTTATCAAA